GATACATAGTTAAGATGCCTCAATCTACTGCTGGAAGGTGTAATTGACTAGATAGTTCTTTTCGGCCAGCATAGACAGAAGGAGCCAAATGGACTTCTTCCAGGCCATAAATCTATAGCATTCGTATGACATCTTGCAACAGTGCACAGTAACAGTGAATGACGATGCGAAGAAAGTTGAGGGTGGTGAGGTGGAGGTGGCATTAAGTTAAACACGTATTAAAAACTTTTTACAATTTTAAAATTTGCAAGCCAAATCACCAAACAAGAAATAATGGTGACAACATTTTACATGAAATTTGATTTGAACAAGCAAGAGCAGAACCATAATGTACATGGGCCACTTGAAGTGAATAGACATCTAAACCAAAAGTGACAGCATTTAAAATTAAGTCAGGAAAGCTGGCAGACTGCTTGACTGAATAGTAGAAAGCTGGGTCACAGTTAAAAAAATTCTGGAGGTCAGCTGATGAAAACAAAATCTGAAGAACTGAGCTGGATATAACACAAAAGTAAAATATGGTAGATTCCACAGATTAGAAATAAAACAGAATTTGCTGAAAATAGTCAAAAGATGTACCAGCATCTGTGGAGAAAGAAACGAAATTAAGATTCCAGGTTGCTGGCCTTTCAAACAAACGAATAGACTCAGGTATTTTTGAAAGTAAACCTTGTTTTATAATCCCCCACTTACTGTGACAAGGAACAAAACCCTTTTTTAAAATGGTGCATTTGAAAATTTGCCAAAGTAAAGCAGGAAACATACTGACGTTGGCTCCTTGGAAAAATCTTTCCACAGACCATGCTTTAACTTTTCCAGAGGTTTTCTGAAGAAGGATCTAGGCCCGAAATGTCAGCTTTCCTGCTCCTCTGATGCTGCTTGGCCTGTTGTGTTCATCCAGCTCTACACCTTTTAACTTTTCCAGCTGGTCTTAAAACCATTTTTGGAAAGAGAAACACAATTTTCAAAAAAAATGTATTCACTTGTGGGATGTGGGCATTGCTGGCTGCCCAACATTTATTGCCAGCCCCTAAACGTCCTTGATAAGGTGCTGGTCAGCTGCCTTCTTGAATCACTGTAGTCCATGTGTTGTAACTTGCTCCCACAACATCCTTAGGGAGGGAATTCCTGGATTTTGACTCAGCAACAATGAAGGGATAGCGATATATTTCCAAGTCAGAATGGTGAGTGACTTGGAGGGGAATTGCAGCTGGTGCTGTTCCATGTATCTGCTTTCATTAACCTTCTAGCGGAAGACGTCATGGGTTTGAAATACTTTTATAGCCTCAGAAAAGAGATAGCTTTGAGTTCTGGATAAACCTAACCCTTTTTGTAATGAGTCCTTGCTCTTCAGATTCCATATGTAAACAAATAAATTGATATCATTTATTACATATTTATGCAGAAATTGTATTTTCTTATTTAGTTGATGCGTTTGTCTTTTAAGTAATGTTTCAGGTTTTCTTAATCAAGATAAAATCTCACCAATCTGTTCATACATTAAAAAAGTGCACTTTCATGCTCAGAGTTGCAACTTGCATTTAGTTGAGAATAAATGGACAGGATTTTGTCTCTAATGTGAGTACTTGTAATTTCAGATGACTGCGTGCTAAATTTACACAGTTTCTTGAAATGTGATATGCAAAATTCCACACAGTCAAGCCAGGCTAACACTTTATCAGAAATATTTTTTTTGTAAACACACTGTAATTTGTTACTGTGTTTGTATTGTGATACACAAGCCCGAATTTTAATTACCTGGCAGGAGTTGTGCTGCCTGTACAGGACATTGGTTAGGCCACTTCTGAAATACTGCGTGCAATTCTGGTCTCCCTTTATGAGGATGTCGCCAGGATTTGGATGGTTTGAACCACAGGAAGAGTCTGAATAATCTGGGGCTATTTTCCCTGAGCAGTGAAGGCTAAGGAGTGGTTATAGAGGTTTATAAACTCATAAGGGGCACAAATAGAGTAAATAGGCAAGTCCTTTTCCCTGGGGTGAGGGAGTCCAAAACTAGAGGGCATAGGTTTAAGGTGAGAGGGGAAAGATTTAAAAGGGACCTAAGGGGCAATATTTTCACTTAAAGGGTGGTGCATATATGAAATGAGCTGCCAGAAGAAGTGGTGGAGGCTGGTACAATTAAAACATTTAAAAGGCAAGTGGATGGGTATATGGATTGGAAGGATTTAGTGGGATATGAGCCAAATGCTGGCAAATGGGACTAGATTTATTTGTCAGCATGGATAAGTTGGACCAGTGGGTCTGTTTACACACTGTACAGCTCTGTGACTCTGGTAAAGCATATGTCTGACACACCAGCTTTCAACAAGCTCTCTGAAACACAATAGCTTAAATTACTTTTTTTTGTGAAATCTTAATCCAAAGAGTTTTAATTTAAATTGCCAGTTGATTTTTAAATGTTTTGAAGGAAAAAACTGAAACAAAGAATACCTGCAGATAATTGAACCAAGAATCCAGATCATACACAACCACTTTGCTCTGCAGGAGATATCTCTCAAACCACTGGAAAACTTTCCTCAATAATCACCCCCACAATACCTCACCTATCCAACATCAATTCCCATGGACCTCAATTTTGTGAGGGCTTCTTGGGACCAGTTGCTTTGATTTAAAGGGCAGTAGGTTTCATCTAATCTCTACTTTATGTTTCACCCAAGGCTGAAATAAGTTTGGAAAAGCTGTACATTAATTATTGATGATTCCACACCTCCTGATCACAGAATTGTTGATTCCTTCTACCACTTCGCTCGTGATGGAGAACTGACTGTGAGACAATGGATAGGGGAGCTGCATTTGTCCTGTATTTTGTAAACAGGATACATCTCTAATTTCCAGTAAGGTTGGGTAGACATCTGTGTCCTACGCACACAGGAATACATTAGGTGTGGGTTTTGGAATCAGAACATTTACTGAATTGTTTACTAACCAGTTATTTCTGGGTTTTTCAAATTTAACTTGGTAAACTGTCATGGTGGATCATGAATGTGCTACAGTACCCATAAGGATTGACTAGGTAAAAAAAATTAACAAACCACAATTTTGAAAATAGTGTTTTGATTACCTTATGAAACAAATTGCCAATTCACCCTCCACCATGCTAGGAACAGAATTAAATTGTTATAAAAGAAATTCTGTTTCAGAAAAATCTTATTGTTTGAGTGCATAATCTTCTATAGCTATTTGTCCACAGATAGTGGGATACTCTAGATTTAATACCCTACTAGTACCCTTGGTGTACAGGTAATAGCTTTACAGATCTATTTATGTTCTTTAGTTATCGAAGTAGCTTACACACTTATTGTGCCAAACAGCAAGAATATAGCAAGAGTCAGAGAGCAAATGGCCACTCCGCTTCCAAAGAAAGAAAGAAAACTGTATCTGAAGGTATGAGCTTCAACGATAAAAACTAACATGTCTTTAAGATGGTTGCTACAAGTTAAAAGCTTTCTGAAGTAACCTGTTCACTGAACTGGCTAATGTACATGGCAGCATGATTGGCCAGGTCAATGGAATATACTTGCTTTAAAACATTGCACACACAGCGATACTAGAACAGACACAATAAATTCAATAGTTTAGAGCAAGCACTTCTTCATATATGGCTTATGGAAATATCTTTTGAAGCCATATCAGAATTTTTTAGTACAAGGGAGCAATTCCAAGTTTCAAAAGGGGGGAAAAGAAACACTTACTTTTCCAGCTCCACAACATTAAACTTCCACCAGGTTTCTGGCTCTCGAAAACTCAAGCTGTAACACCGTTCCACAGCCTGTGCAGATAACAGCCATTAGCATCATGATGAAGCATTTCAAGGTGAATAACTGTGTACTAAGTAATTTCACAGATTAAAAACATTACGCATTCAATTATTTCAATGGCAAGAGCAAGGAATCCAGAATTGAAAGTTTCTGGAATTTGTCTTCATTTGCAATTTAATGTCAGTGAGCTTAAACATACAAACTTTATTCAAGTTACTTTAATGAAATGAAAGCAAATCATTTCAACAAATTCCAACTAATGTAAGCGAATGAAGAAAGTTTGTAATTAATGCACCACTTTTACTTGTATAAATTATATATATTGTTACGATACAGTGGAAAATCAAGTGCTGGAAGGCAAGCCTTACTAGACTCCGTTGAAGCGATGTTATTCTACTCTGCTTGGAATTTATACTGTCAGGTCTGTTAAGGTGAGTAGTGTCGTTTCCGGTTTTGATCTGTATGGGATTGCATATGGGGTTCAATTCTATATGTTTGTCGATTGAAGTATGGGTAGAGAACCATGCCTCTAGGAATTCCCGTGCATGTCTATGTTTGGCTTGGGCTACTATATTACTTTGTCCCAGTTAAATTGATGGTCTTCATTGTCTGAATGCACAGATATTAAGGAGAGTTCATTGTGCAGTTTTGCTGCTAGCTGATGTTCATGCATTTTGATGGCTAGTTTCCTTCCGGTCCGATGTAATATTGTGGCAGTCGTTGCATGGTACTTTGTAAATCACATTCATTCTGCATGTTGAGGTTTTCTACCCATACTTCAATCAACAAACATATAGAATTTGACCCCAGATACAAACCCATACAGATCAAAACCAGAAACGAGACTACTCACCATAACAGACCTGACAGTATAAATTCCCAGCAGAGTAGAATAACATCGCTTCATCGGAGTCTCCACTGATGATGTCACCTCGCATGGTGATGAAACATCTGAACAAAAACAAGCCAGCTCGGTGAGCAAATCAACAACCTCATCCACAACCTGACCTACAGATCTTTGCCAAAACATTAAATCACTCACCTTGTCCAAATCACACTGATGCACTTCTGCATTCTCCTCACAATTCATCCTCCCACTCAGTTTTGTGCTGTCAGCAAACTTGGAGATATTAATTTATTTGACTGAACTAAATGTAATATATATTGTGAATAGCTGGGGTCCAAGCACTGATCCCTGCTGTACCCCACTGGTCCCTAGCTGCCACTCAGAACAGAACCTGTTTATTCCTCCTCTTTGTTTCCTGCCTAACAACTAGTTCTCTATCCATCTCTACCCCCAATCCCGTGTGTTTTAAATTTTGTGTGCTAATTTCTCATGTTGGACCTTATTGAATGCCTTCTGAAAGTGCAAATAAATCACATCCCTGCCTAGTGAATCAGTTGAGGCCACCTCGTTGAATGTTCTTAAGTCAAAGATAGATACATTTTGAACAGTAAAGGAAATAAGGGTTATGGTGAGCAGACAGGTAAATGGAGCTGAGACCACAAAAATATTAACCATGCTCTTATTGAATAGTGGAGCAGGCTTGACAGGCCAGGTTGCTTACTCCTGCTCCTATTTCTTAAGTACTTATGTCCTCCCTTATCAACTCTATTATTTATGATCTCAAAGAATTCCGAAAGATTTGACTAGGATCATTTCCCTTTTTATAAATCCTTGCTGGGTCTGTCCAATCCTGACATTATAAAAGGTTAGAAAACAATGAACTCTAGCATTTCCTTACTACTGACGTTAGGTTAACCAGTCCACAATTTCCTGCATCACTCTACCTCCTTTTTTAAATAGTGAGGTTTCATCAACTACCCTCCAATTCATGGGAACCACTCTAGAGTCTACAGAATCTTCAGAGAGGGCCACCAAAGCATCAACTATTTCTCAGGCCACTTCCTTAAGTACTCTGGGATGTAGATTATTGGGCCCTGGGATTTATCAACCTTTGATCCCATTAATTTTTCCACTGCCATTTCCTACTAATACGGATTTCCCTCAGTTCCTCTTTCATGCTAAACCACGTGTTCCTCAACATTCTTGAGATGTTATTTGTGTGGACCATTGTGAAGACTAGACTAAAATGTGTATTCAATTGGCATACCATCTCTTTGTTCCCTATTATAATTTGCCTTGCATCTGACTACTAAGGGACCTGCATTTGTCTTCACATTCCCGTGAAGGCTTTTCAAGTCAGTTTGTTATGTTTCCCACAAGCTTACTCTCCTACTCTTATATTTTTCCCCTCTTCACTAATCTCTTTGTCCTCCTGTGTTGAAATCTAAACTGCTCCCAATCCTCAAGTCTGTTGCTTTTTTGGCCAGTTTGTATGCCCCTTCCTTGGATTGAGTACTATCCCTGATTTCCTTCGTTAGCCATGGCAATGACACCATTCCATGTTATTTTTGTGCCAGACAAGAATGAATTGTTGCAGTAGCTCCATATGATCTTTGAATGTTTTCCATTGCCTATCCACTGTCAACCCTTTAAGAAATGCTCCTCAATTTGTCATCACCAGCTCACAACTCTTATTATCACTGATTCCCCCACTATCAACGTCATGGGGGGTACCAATTGACCTTAAACGGAACTGTACGAGCTATGGAAAGAGCTGTTCAGAGACTAGGAAACCTGCAGCAGGTAAATCCCCTCCTGACTCCCCAGAGCCTGCCCACCATCTACAAGACACAAGTCAGGAGCGTGATGGAACACTTTCTACTTGTCTGCATGCCTGCAGCTCCAGCATATTCATGAAGAGTGACATCATTCAGGACAAAGCAGCTCATTTGATGGGCACCATAGCCACATCACTTCATCACCAAAGGTCAGTAGCAGCAGTGTACATCATCTACAACATGCCCTGCAGCGATTCACCAAATCTCCTTAGGCAGCACCTTCCAAACCCACAACTACTTCCACCTCGAAGAACAATTGCAGCAGGTACATGGCAACACCACCAACTGCAAGTTCCCCTCCAAGCTACTCAGTATCCAGGCTTGGAAATATTTCAATGTTCCTTCAGTGTCACTTGGTAGAATCCTGGAATTCCCTCAGTCAGGGCATTTTGGGTCTACCTTTAGCGAATGGACTGAAATGGTTGATGAAGGTAGCTCACTACTACCTTCTCAATGCAATCAGAATGGACAATAAATGCTGCCCCAATCAGCAACATCCACTTCCATCAGTGAATAAAAAGAAACGAAAAGTCTCTTTCGAACATTGGTTTCTAAAACAGCTCTCACTTCAGTCCCTGGTTTGTAGGCCACAAAAATAAAAAGAGACAATTCTTCCAGTAATGCAACTCAACCTTAACCTTAAAGGTGGAAAGTGTTTGCATATAAAACTGTTTGAAGAAAATGCATCCTTTCTGTAAAAATGCTCATTTGATTTCCACCAAGTAGCAAGAGACAATAGACATTTATTTTTAGCATATTTCAAAAGTACACATACAACTTACCATTTGCGCATATGGTTTCATTTCCCATGCCTGGATATTAGTATTATCTATAATTATAGGTGACCTGCCTTCATCCATTGACTGTTTAGCTGTTTAAAAAGAATATGAATTACGTTTGTGCCAGAAACAATTTATTTATAGTTTCTCTTCATTTAAAATATATTTCTATACAGAATTGAAAAGCTTCCATTCTCCTCCATCAATGCTCTCTCACATTCTCAACACTTACCAAAGCTTTTGGTAACTAATCCCTGGAGCATTTTCGAAGGCAACACCTTGATCAGAGTCCATTTGCCAACCAATCAATACCCTGTTCCAAAGTTGGTTTTCTTGCATTTTCCTAATGTATGCAAGATGAAAAGCTTTGACTATTATTTTTCCAGCTATACTCAATCTTTTAACATTTAACACACAATTCCTCCAACAATATCATGCTCATATAAAACTGTACATACTAGATTTTTAAAATTGAGTTTTGATTCAAATCCATCATGGCAGCTGTGGAATCTATGTCCCCACAGCATTAGCCTAGACCTGTGGACTACCAGTCCAGTAACATTTACGACTGTGCCAATGTCTTCCCTAATAACAGAAACATCTGCCCACAAAGTACACAAACTTATATTTCTCACCAACAGTTGCAACTTCCATTCTTCCAACCTTCCCTCACCGTGGTAAAAGGGAGCAATCCCCTCAACAAGTAACCAAAGCACTCATACGATATAATCAAAGTGGACTAAGCAACAGTTCGGTTTTTCTAGAGCTGCAGAAGTTCACTAGACAATCATCACATGCCAAAAACCTAAACTACAACACTGGACTAGATAAAGTTCTTGCTCATGAGTTTATTGTTGATAAACGAATTCTTTCAAATTGAGAAAAGGGTTATAATTGGGACAAATGTTCATTCGAGATTTTGTTTTACTTGGAAAACAAAAATTGTTTCACTGATAGCTGTCATTACATCTTAAAACTAACTTGAAAGAATCTACAGCATTTTCACGAGCATCAAGCTCACATATCATTTAATTTCAGCATTTTCTGTATAATTAACCAGATTCAGAACTAAAACTCAGTCATAACTGTAGGTACAAACAACTTCTTGCATCTATCCCGAATTTTTCATTAGTTAAACAACGCAATACCCACCTTGCTTGCAGTTTTAAACACTGTTCTAAACTCATGTGTTATAAAAGTATGAAAATAGATGCAGAACTCTGCAGGATAGAATTTACAAGCTTGTTTGTGTACCCAAGTTTCAGTGAAAAGTATTAGAAGCTGAGATTCTTTGTCCTCTTGGGGAAATCTACAACTAGGGTAATAATTTAAAAACTAGAGATCACCCTTTTAAGTTGGAATTGAGGAAGGATGCTTTTCCCAGAGCATCCTGTGACTTTGGAATTTTCCACCCCAGACAGCAGTAGAGGTGGCAACATTGAATATATTCAATGTTGAGTTAGATAGATTTTTGAACAACAATAAAGTTCAAAGGCCATAATCTGATCAGCCACATTCTTACTGAATAGCAGAACAGGCTTAACGTGTCAAGGAGATTGACTCCACTTCCCATGGACACAACATCAACAGCAGTGAAACTTGTATCGAGCACACTACTGTGTTGAAACTCACCAGACAATTTTCCAAAGGGTAAGCACAGGTTAAAGTAAGGTAGATCCCTACAGTTTATGTTCGATAGAGAATTGGGGCAATTACAAATTTATGGAATCATATTAAAAGAGAGTCTCAGCATAAATAGAAGCTATATTAGATTCAGTATTTATGTACAGTACAGAATCAAACAAACCAAAGAGAATAAATCTCAGACTAACCATTTTGCTAATCTGAAATGAAGTAAAATCAGGATGATATTAACAATCGTCAAGTATTCAAATCTAAACAGTGCTGGAGAAACTCAGCAAGCCTGACAACGTCTACAGAGAGGAAAATAATTTTGACTTCAATATGGTAAAGGTAAAGTTGCCGTAGTGCAGAACCACAGAACTGCTCTCTCATTAAAAACAGATGGCTGGTGGTGGTTTAACCAGAGGGTCACCAGGCCTCAGGTGATGGGAAGAGACTAAGCAGAGTCCCTCCTTGCAACCTCAGGCAGCATGGGAATTGAACCCATTTTGTTGGCATCACTCTGCATTACAAACCAGCTATCTAGCCCTCTTTCCTCAGTTTTGGGAGTGAAGGGAGAAAGTAATTCATGTACAATTACAGAAGAAAGGTTGGAAAATGCAATTTACTCAGTTTTTCAAAGAAATGAATAAGTGATGATCTTGCATTGAGAAAGATATTAAATAGAATAAAAGGATTTCAAGTTACATAGTCTTTCTCAAACTTTGCCCTACGGTTAAACTGATAAAACAAATTCGGTTCTCATATCAAAACAATTCTTCAGAGAAACAGTTGTCAACACCTAGCTGTTGAACAGCTGAAATGTGCCCATTTAACCCAATGATTGCCTCACAGGCCGAGGGTGAATGACACATTTGTCACTTGCAAACAACTTAGTACCATAAACTACATAATCCAGCTTCAATTCTGAGCTCAGTAGCTCGAATATAAAAGCTGCTCAAAAAAAAAGTTCCACAAAACGTCCATACTGTGAAATCAAAACATGTCAAAGTTGCACTGGTTATGATATTCCAAAATATCCTGGACTCTGGAAAAGTTCCAGTGGATTGGAAAAAATGTTATTCAAAAAGGGAGGGATGCGGTAAGTGGGAAACCATAGACCAATTAGTTTAATAACATTGGGAAATCATTAAAATCCATTTCTAAGGAAGTAGAAATGAAACATTTGAAGAGTTAAAACATAATCCATCAGAGTCAGCATGGTTTTATGAGGGGTAAATCATTTTTGCCCAATTTGTTCGAGTTCTTCAAAGATGCTACAAGCAAGGTGGATAATGCAGATCCTGTAGATGTAGTAAATATGATCTCCAGAAGGAGTTTGATAAGGTGCTGCACACAGGTTACACAAGGTTAGGTCACACGGGGTAATATATAACCTTAGCTTTGATAGCGGATCAGCTCACCAACAGAATGCAGAGTGTCCAGATGAATGGGTCTTTTTTCTGGTTAGCAAGCTGTAAGTAGTGAGGTGTCTCAGCAGGTTGGTGCCTGGGCCCTAACTATTCACAATCTATTGCAGATGGCGCCAAAATAAGTGGGAAAGTAAGTTGCAATGAAGAAATAAGAAACGTAAAAATTGACAATGGAGAGGTTTGGTGAATGGGCCAAAACTTGGCATATGAAGTTTAAAGTAGATAGGTGTGAGGTTATCCATTTTGGGTGGAAGAATAAAAAGGCAAATTATGTAAAAAGAGAGAATCCGCAAAATGCTTCAATACAGAGGGATCAGGTACAGCAGGTAATAAGGAGGGCAAATGGAATTTTGGCATTTATTGCTAAAGGAATGGAGAATAAAAACAGGAAAGTGTTGTTGAAATTATACAAGGCATTGTACGATGAGATGCTGACAAAAGGAATTGAGGCCTGAGACAGATCAGCCAAAAAGGCCGTCTACGTGTGGAACCACAAGAGATGGGTGAGATCCTAAACAAATATTTCGCATCAGTATTTACTGTGGAAAAAGATATGGAAGCTAAGGACTCGGGAAAATAAATACTGATATCTTGAAAAGAGTCCACATTACAGAAGAGACGCAGGAGATCTTAACGTATAAAGGTAGATAAACCCTGGGATCTGATCAGGTGTATCTCAGGATACTGTGGGTAGCTGGAGAAGAAACTGTGGGGCCCATAGTGAGAATATTTGTATTATCAACAGTCGTGGGTGAGATGCTGGAAGACTGGCGAGTGACTAACGTGGTGCCATTATTCAAGACAAGCTGCAAGGAAACGCCAGGGAACTATAGACCGGTGAGCCTGATGGTGGTGGGCAAGATGGTGGAAGGCATTCTGAGAGACAGGATCTACATGCGTTTGGAAAGGCAAGGACTGATTACAGATGGGCAGCATGGTTTTTGGCATGGGAGATCATGTCTCACTAACATGATTGAGCTTTTTGAAGAGGTGCCCAAGAAGATAGATGAAGGCAGAACGGTAGACATTGTCTACATGGACTAGCAAGGCCTTTTATAAGGTACCACATGGTAGATCAGTGAGTAAGGTTAAATCTCACAGACTCCAGGGAGAGCTAGCCAACTGGATACAGAGGTGGCTTGACAATAGGACACAGAAGGTTGTTGTTCAGACCGGAGATCCACAACCAGCAGTGTGCACAAGGATCGGTGCTGGATCCACCGTTGTTTGTCATTTATGTAAACAATTGGGATGAGAACACAGGAGGCACAGTTAGTAAGTTTGCAGATGACACCAAAATTGGTGGCATAGTGGACAGCAAAGGTTATCCAACATTACAAAGGGATCTTGATCAACTGGACCAGTGGGCTGAGGAATGGCAGATGAAGTTTAATTTAGATAAATGCGAGGTATTGCATTTTGGTGAGTCAAACCAGGGCAGGACTTACCCAGTTGATGATAGGGCCCTGGGGAGTGTTCTCGAACAGAAAGACCTAGGGGTGCAGGTACATAGTTCCATTAATAGCAGAACAATTCCATCAACTCATCTAGACTTGAAATGATAAGCCTGCCTTCTCTCTATGGATGCTGCCTGACCCGTTGTGATCTCCAGAAATTTTTGCTTTCACTTAATTTTAACTTCGATACATATCAATCTGGGGTTTTCTGTTCAAAGATAACAAAAAAAGCAAAATTCAGAGAGATGGAGACATCCAGACCGTGATAAATAGGTAACTCATACCTCTGTTCTGATTCCACTCGTGAGCTTCTCCAAGGTAATTGGGATCAAAGCAGTAAACCCCATTCTGACAGAAATAATCATCTGTGCTTAATACCACACCATTTGGACTTTGAGCTAACAGCAACCTGCAAGTAGAAATACTCAAGATTGATTACATAGGTAGTTAAATTACAAGTAAAATCATTCAGCACATTAAAATCAATAATCTGTACCCAGAAGAAATTTTCTAAAAAAGTTTATCTATTGCAACGGATCAATGACATGATAAACCATTTTGAAATGAACTGACATTACATCAAAATATAATAGTAAAAATTATGGGCTAATGCATTTCAGAGTATTGGATGCAATTCTTAACATTATCTCTGAATACAAAATTTATTCTGCAAACCTCTTAAGAAGTCTCTCTTACAAGAGTGTTTTCCCCTTTACGCATCTTAAAAAACTAAAACTATGGTACGCATTTGTTACAAAGTAGAAATATCATCCACTTTATTTGTTGTCTTTCTCAATATCAAACATCATTGTACATTACCAGGAATCACATTGACATTTTCAATGAACATTAGTCCCCAA